AATAGGCAGAGAGGCAGGCAGAGAGAGAGGAGGAAGCAGGCTCCCTGCTGAGCAGAGAGCCCGATGCGGGTTCGGTGCAGGGCTCGATTCCAGGACCCTGGGATCACAACCTGAGCCAAAGGCAGAGGCTTAACCCACTGAGCCACCCAGGCGCTCCAAATCCCCCTTTTCTTAAAGTTAGCTAGAACTGGTTTCTGTTGCTTTAAACCAATGGTTCTCAACCAGGGAGGTTTTGCCTCTTAATGAATATCTGGCAACGTCTGGAGATATTTTCGGTTGACACAACTGAAGGTGGGTAATTTTCGCATCTAGGGTGTAGACACCAGGGATGCTGGTAACATCTGTAATGCACAGGACAATCCTGAGATTGAGCCCCAGATCGGGCTCCCTCCTCAGTGGGAAGCCTGCTTTTCCCTCTCTCAACCCTCTCCCTCCCTCTCATGATCTCTCTCTCACTCTCTCTCAAATAGATAAATAAAATATTTTTAAAAATTTAAGAAACAAAATAAAAAGCAAACTTATAGAACAAATTGGTGGTTGCCAGATTCAGGAGATGGGGAGTGGGTGAAATAGGTGAAGGTGGTCAAAAGGTACATACTTCCAGTTGTCAAATAAATAAATCCTGGGGATGTAAAGTATGGCTTGGTGACCATAGTTAAAAAATCCTGTATTGCATTTTGGGAAGTTGCTATGAGAGTAAATTTTTTTTTAAGGTTTATTTATTTTAGAGAGAGAGAGAGAGAGCATGTCGGCCTGATGGAAAGCTGTGGGGAGGAGAGAGAGGGAAAGGGAGAGAATCTCAAGCAGACCTCCTATTGAGTGAGGAGCTCCATCCTATTACCCTAAGTGGAATGTCCTGAGTGGAAATCAAGAGTCAGATGCTTAACTGACAGAGCCACCCAGCTGCTCCACTAAGAGAATAAATCCTAAAAAAGTCTCATCATAAGAAAACAAATTTGTAATTATGTGTGATGATGGATGTTAACTAGACTTATTGTGGTCATCATTTCACAATATATACATAGTGAATACATAATTTTGAAACATTATGTTGTACACCTGAAACTAATGTGTTATTTGTCAATTATACTTCAATAAAGAACAAAAGGGAAAAAAACCCTGATGAAATCAAGTTGATCTAGAGATAACTCACATCCCCTAGAGCTTGTTAGAAATGCAGAATCTTGGGGCGCTTGGGTGGCTCAGTGGGTTAAAGCCTTTGCCTTCAGCTCAGGTCATGATCCCGGGGTCCTGGGATCAAGTCTCACATCTGGCTCTCTGCTCTGTGGGAAGCCTGCTTCCTCCTCTCTCTCTGCCTGCCTCTCTGCCTACTTGTGATGTCTGTCTGTCCAATAAATAAATAAAATATAAAAAAAAAAAGAAACGCAGAATCTTGGGCCTCATTATAGATTTACTGAATATGAATATGCATTTTAAGAAAATCTGTGCATATTTAGGTCTGAGAAGCAATGGGTTAGAGGATTTGATGAAGGTGAAAGTTTTTGTACTGGGGATGCTGAAAAGATGCTTCTGGCAGAATTTTCTAAATCAGAGGTTAGCAAAAAAAAAAAAAAAAAAAAGAAAATGTTTTTTTCTATAAAGAGCTAGGTAGTAAATATTTTTAGCTTTGAGGGCCAAACAGTCTCTTACAACCACTGAACCCTGCCATTGTAGTACAACAGCAACCAGGGACAATATATAAACAAATGAGTATGACTGTTGAGCATGGCAATGTTCCAATAAAATTATTTGCAAAAACAGGGAGTTGGTTGATTTGGTCCAAGGGCCACAGTTTGCTGACCCCTGATCTAGACCTTAGTGAAATGAGTAAGTCTTGGCTCCCATGTAGAGTGTACTATTGAGTTTTCCTGTTCTGATTACTTACTGTCTCTTGTCAGTATATACTCCTGCCTCCCTCTCTCCTCTTTTGAAGACAATGAAGAACTTGGCCAGTTGATGTTCTGTGAGATCCTAGAAGTGAGAAAGGGGAGAACTGAGGTATTAGGAAGCCATAATTTCCTTGATATCATTTATTTTCTGTCCAAAGTATCAAGAGATGTACTATGGGGCAAGCTTCACATCAGCTGTTTCTTTGGAGTTGTTTCCTTTTTATTTTCTTGGCTTCTAGTAAACTCATTTTGAACTTCTCTGAGCCAAGGGAAATCAAGAAAAGATATTTTATCCTTGCATAGACCGGGTTGAGCAATAGCCCCTTGATGGCAGTGGCAGTGGTAATCAGAGAGAGATTCAAAGGTAACAGGTTGATGGCTGGGGGTAGTGGAGGGGAAGAGAAATCATATCTATTGAGCATCTCTTCCCTAACGCTTTACATCATTTGAATCCTTACAGTAACTCCAGTATTATGACCCCTGGATACAGATGGAGAAACTGAAACCAATATTTTATCAAACATTAATATAGCAATTACTGTATGCCACATACCACTCTGTTTTACAAATATAAACTCATTTAATCCTCAGAACTCTATTAGGGGAAATATTCTTGCCTCCATGTTAGAAATGGGGAAACTATGCTATGGAGACAGGTTAAATAACTTGCTAGAGGAAACTCAGTTAATAAAGTAGAACTGGGTTTTCAATCCAGAGAGAATGGGATCTTGTTCTGACTCCAAAACCTTGTTTTCTTCTGTTGTACAATGTAATAATAGTATGTTCTCCAGTCCTCCTCCCCATCAGATTTTCCATCAATGGTAGCCCCCCCTCCAAGTTTGGGGTTACCTATTAAGTAGCATTTCCTTATTAGTCCCTCAGATCATAGCATGTTTCCAGGGGTCATTATCAACAATTTTTCTCTACCACAAAACAATCTTTATTAGTATAAGAGATGCTGTTGCCTGCTTTATATGAGCATGACACTCTGAAATATTTTTCTCTGCAATTTCTCCTAACCCTGGATCTTGCTGTTTAATTTTCATTTGCCCTGTCTTCCTTGTCTTCTCTTTTTTGTTCATGCCAGTATATTGCTGAGAATAATGCTGACATCTCAGTCACCACGCTAGTGTACATTAACCTTTTCCTCTTATTTTATTATTGGACTAATCCAATTTTCTTATTCTCCATTATTCACCTCCATTGGATTACCATAAATAATCTAGATACATATTACCAGATCTTTCAGAGTGTCCCCTTAAAGGTTCTATCCCAAATCTTAGTACCTGAATCAGGCACTATATGTTTGGCCCTCTGGTGGATAATGGGTAATAAAAAAGTGGATGATGGGGATGCCTGGGTGGCTCAATTGGTTAAGCATCTCCTTTTGGCTCAGGTCATGATCCCAGATCCTGGGATCCAGTGCTGGATTCCACATCTGGCTCTTCCTCAGTGGGAAGCCTGCTTCTCCCTCTGCCTGCCAACCACCACTCCCCCACCCCGCTTGTGCTCTGACAAATAAATAAATAAAACCTTTGAAAAAAATGTGGAAGATGTATTTACGGTTTAGTGATTTCCACTAAATGTGGTATGGTCTCCTGATCTGACACTAATATTGATTACTAATGATAACTAACCAATATACAATATTTCCCCATGTTTTTCAAATTGAAATTCAGTGCTCCTACACCATCACCTCTTGAATATTCTTTCTTACTCTAGTGCCTTGCTCTTCAATCTGTCCATCGGAGCAGAACATGACTATTTTCCTTACCTTTGGCTCTGCTATTAAACTTTCATTAGAGGCAGAATCACAACATTCTAAGACTTTGATGATGATAAGGGAGATAGTTTAAGATTTTGATTTTAAAAAAGTGCAAAAGTGTTTCTAACTGAACCTTAAAAAGGTTTGAGGCACTGTTCTAAGTATGTCCATGAGAAGTGCATAAGAGCAAAGTTTGCTGGTCTTGCAGTCCAAAGACTTGAATTATAGTCCTAGCTCAGCCACTAAGGTAAGGATGGCTAACATTTATTGAGCACTTAGTGTGTGCCAGTCACTTTTCTACTAATCATCGCGCTGTGAGGAGGAGGGTACAAGTATTACCCCTTTTTACAGAAAAGGAAACCGAGACACAAAGCGCTTAAGTAACTTGGAGTTGGTGTGGTAAGCTGAATCCGGTTTTGCAACATAGGCAGTCTGGCTCCAAACTGGTGCAGTTAGTTCCTACCCGCCTTTATTCCCTGGTAAATAGAATCAGCCATGATTAACATACATGCAGCAGGTTCGGCACTGGTTTTCTGCAGTTCTACTCATTTAATCTCCACGAACAACTCTGAAGTTGATACAGTTTTTTACAAGCGAGGAAACTAAGGCCCAGAGCAGTAACTATAATTTGGCAGACATGCTTGGAGATCAGCCTCGAGGCTCCAAAAGCGTCTCCAACCCTCGAACCACCTGGATCTTTGAGCCTGTTTTCCCACCTATAAAGTGAGGGGAAGTGGAGTAATGCCTCAGTTCTACGAGGGAAGGCTGTAGAGAGGTATGTGCGCACAAGGGTGAGCGAGAAGGGGTGGTAAAGCAATCAAGCTCGGGGGCCGAGGGCCCAGCATGCATAATCGGGGCTGGTGAGGGTGAGGATGCGAGAAAGATTCCCGCCAGGGAGGAGGCCGGGAAAGGAGGGGTGGGTGCCGCCCCGAGCGAGGCCTTTAGGCGAAAATGGGGCCTGACAGCCTATCTCTGCCGGGTCAAGCGCTGCGGCGCTTCCAGCGGCCAAAGGGGAGGGGATCCCTGGGGCTTTGTCCCGATGCCGGGACAGCACCTCACCCGCCCAAATCCTGCTTCGCAAGATTCTCCATGAAAGCTAGAGAAGGAAGGGGCGCGGCTTCCCCGCCAGCGTCGCAGAGCGCCACGTCCCTCTTGGCTTAAGCTCCCCAGGTTCCTTCGCGTTCCTCCTCCACGCCATCCGCCTCTCACCCCGAGGGGGCGCGGCCTCATCTCCGCCCCTGCCAATCGGGAACGTCCGTGGCCCCAATCGGACCAATCAGAAGCTGCCAGGAGGGGCGGGGGCTGTCGCCAAGGCAGCGAAGAGGCGGGAGCGTGCGGTCAGCGGAGGTACAGAGAAAAACCGCGGGCGGGGGGCTGGAGAGACAGGTTTGTGTGTTGCGTGCATTCAGCAGGCGGAGCCTCGAGCGCCGAGACCCGGCCGGGTAAGGCCGGAGGCCGGAGGTGGGTGCGGATCAGCGCGGCGGGAGGCTAGAGCGGGTGCTGAGAGAGGGCTCAGGGCTTCGGCTGCCCTACCCTGCAGTGAGAATGGCGGGGGGAACCGCACAGCGGGCGGCACCGACGAGGGGTGCTTCCAGTTGCAGCCCGAGGCGTGGGGTCCCTTTTCCCACTCCACTCGCCTCAGGACACCCAAGCTTTCTTTAGGGTAGATGAAGGTGGTAGGCTCATGGCGGGGAGCAGGCGTGGGTGAGTGCAGGACCGAGACCCGGTCAGGGTCCAGCCTCGCCTTGGCAGGTCGCTGGGCGAGGGAGGCGCCCACTAAGAAGGGGGGGGTGTACCCACCAGTTCCCTGCAAATGCACATCGCCCCTGGCGCGGTCAAGCGAAACTAGGTCGGCCAATCCTACTCTTCTGCCTGTCTGTTAACCCCACAAACCTTGACACTTAGAGAAAGTTCGTGTCAGCTGTGGTATTGTTTTCCCTTAAGTGAGAAATCGCTGTAAGATGAGCTCTTTCTGTTTCGGAGGTAATACTTCCACTTCCTTGTTGCACTTACTAAATGGTAACTCTGTGAATAAATGTAGTTATTGTTGTGGTCGGTGCTGGCAAGGGGTCTTGGTTGGCAATTATTTTACAATATCCAGATTTTTTTTTTTTTTTAAGATTTTATTTGTTTGTCAGAGAGCTCAAGCAGGGGAAGCAGAAGGCAGAGGGAGAAGCAGGCTCCCCGCTGAGCAGAGAGCTGGACACAGGGACATAGGGCTCCCTCCTGGGACTCTGGGATCGTGACCTGAGTAGAAGGCAGTCGCTTAACGGACTGAGCGACCCAGGCGTCCCACAATATCCAGATGTTTTATAATATCGAGACAGAGACAGGAGCAGGGAGAGAGGGAGAGAAGGAGGGAGGGAGAAAATATGAACATGACCCTTGAATCATTATTCTGAATTCTGGGAGATGGAACCTCTTGAGATTCTTAGAGTGTCCACTAAACTCTTAAATTGGATAATGTACACATACACAATTGAATAAGTGCTCCCATCTAAGCCTTTTATTGAGGCTGTTAAATCCATGGATGAATATGAACATCAAACCACCTATTATTATCTTGGCTAAAAAGGGGGGAAGGGGAAAGAAGGAGGATAAAAGCAAATATTTCTTTTTTTTTTTTTAAGATTTTATTTATTTATTTGAGAGAGAGAGTGAGCAGGAGTAGGGGTTGGTAGGCAGAGGCAGGGGGAGAAACAGGCTCTCCCCTGAATAGGGATCGCTATGTGGGACTGGATCCCAGGACACTGGGATCATGACCTAAGCTGAAGGCATCTGCTTAACCAGCTGAGCCACCCAGGTACCCCTAAATGCAAATATTTCTGACAGTCAATTCTGTCTGAAGGAGATTCTGGACTTTCTCTAAAGAATTGGAAAAAAAAAAAGTGCTGAGACAGTTGCTTTAAGGAATTTATTAAAAGTACTATGGTTAAAAAAAGTAGCATGGTTAATAGATTTGGATCTGATATGCAAATATTTCTGATAGTTTTGTTTGAAGGAGATTCCGGACTTGTCCTGTAAGAACTGAAAGAATTGAGGAGACATTTGCTTTAAGGAATTTGTTAAAAATAGTATGACTAGAGGTATAATAGATCTGGATCCTATAACCTGTAGCTCCTTTCATGATTTATTTACATTTTTGTTTCTTACGGCCTTCCCTGGTGAATTCTGTTGAATAGTCAGGCAATATCCAGATTCTTGCATCTTGTTCCTTATAGAAATTACCTCAGGATTCAACTTCATTGAAGCTGAATGCGGGTTCTTGTTTCATAAAACTCGACCAGCAAGTTCAACAAATGCTGAGCAAACAAATGTCTCAACAAATGTTCCTCAGTAAATAGGGCCCCAAAATTTAAAAAATGGATATTTAGAATGAGAAATCTCAAATACTATTACTCTTGTGATTGGGGTAGACATGGAAACTACTGTTTCTCATCTAGTTCTCTAAACTTTCCATGATCCGGTCTAACTTTCTAGTGAAAAATTCATTTCTGCCTCCTGGTGGTCACTAGTGCTGTTCTCTTCCAGCAATCTTAATATACCCACCTTGCCATGGCCGAAGTCCCTGCTCTGTTCACCTTAATCTGCCGATCGGTACTTACTGTTCAACTTTTGCCAAACTGGTCTGTGCCCTGTAAATACCAGTTGAAATGAAATGCACAATGAAAACAATGAAGGTACCTTTCAAACCTCTAGCTGTTCATCATGGTTGCTAATATAGACTACAGTAACATGATCAGTACCAGTGTCTTTTTGCTTGGAGTTATGTTGTGTATCTCTATAGATAAATCCAATTAATTTTGTTATTTAGAATAACATTTAAGTTGCTTTCCACTTTCTAAGGCCTTTTTGATGAATGAGCAAAATACGCTTTTAAGTATTGGGTAGCTGGAGGAATCAAGTATAGGATTTTAAAGTGCATTGAAAGTAATCCTTAAGTAGATAAACTTTTAAGTATTGTGAGTAATTGAGTTGACTGTATTTGATATGATAGATGATTAACTTTTTCTAAATATCTGAAGGTCTGGAAAGGGGAAATTTGTTATTTTTATGTTGAATATGTGCAATTAGCTTATAGACTTTAAAAAACAGGCTCCTAACATTTCAAATGACTTATTTAAGGAAAAAATCTCAATCATTTATTGATTTTCAATCCAAAGTTAAAAAAAAAACATGAAATGGTGAAAATTCTTCTTTTTTTTTTTAAGATTTTATTTATTTATTTGACAGAGAGAGATCACAAGCAGGCAGAGAGGCAGGCAGAGAGAGAGGAGGAAGCAGGCTCCCTGCTGAGCAGAGAGCCTGATGCGGGGCTCCATCCCAGGACTCTGAGATCATGACCTGAGCTGAAGGCAGCGGCTTAGCCCACTGAGCCACCCAGGCGCCCCGAAAATTATTCTTGATTAGAATTTGATGGCCAGATTCCAATCCTGTCTCTGTCAAATAGTTTTGGCCACGTTAGTTAGCTTCCTTATGCTTTATAACCTTTTGTAAAAGTTGGGTCTGAACCACACCTTACCTCTGAGATCATTTCTGGTCCCAGAATTCTGTGTTAAAAATTTTAAAGCAACCTAGTGAAAATTGAGATAGCAGTTGTGTGCTTTTGTTTTTGGCAGAGCTTTTTAAAAAAATTTTTTTCAATTGTTTTTTTTTTTTAAATTTGGCAGAGCTTTTTGGCATATTGTATTTTAGTTATCCAGAGTACAGTATATATGCATAATGGAGACATTGTAATTTTACTAAATTTGTTTATTGAGTGATACAGATGAGAAACAGTATCTGCTTTCATTACGTAAGCCTATTACCAAGGATACTGTAACCAATTAAGATTGGGGGGGGAAGGCAATATGATGGTGTCCTTTTCTACAGATATGAGTCTCAGAGACATCAATATCTATACTAATGTCTTGATACATGGAAGGGTTGGAGTCCAGCTAAGCTGGTTATACATTTAATGCTTTTATTTTGAATCTCGCTTTCCTGTGGATGCTTATTTAATTTTTTTTTTAATTAAGTAATCTCTGTGCTCTAGGTGGGGCTCGAACTCACAACCCCAAGATAAAGAGTTTCATGCTCTACCGACTAAGCCAGCCAGGCACCCCAGTATCTATACTAATGTCTCAATACTCGGAAGGGTTAGAGTCCTGCTCAGCTGGTCATACATCTGATACTTTACTTTGAACCTTGCTTTCCTGTGGATTCTCATTTTTTTTTTTTAAGATTTTATTTATTTATTTGTCAGAGAGAATGAGCACAGGCAGACAGAGTGGCAGGCAGAGGCAGAGGGAGAAGCAGGCTCCCCGCCGAACAAGGAGCCCGATGTGGGACTCGATCCCAGGATGCTGGGATCGTGACCTGAGCCGAAGGCAGCCCCTTAACCAACTGAGCCACCCAGGTGTCCCTGGATTCTCATTTTTAGAGGGAAGAATGGAGTTGGGTATCAGGGTTCTGGTCTCTCTCATCACTGCTGCCGTTGAGAAACTCAGAAGCCGTTTATTTTTCTCCACCCCACTCCCTTTCACTGTTAGAATTAAGATATTGACAGCAAGAGGAAGCAACCAAGGTTTCCTGGCTAAGGGCAGTGACTTGGAGAGAGAAACCTGGGACTCTTGTTTTATTTATTTATTTATTTTTAAAGATTTTATTTATTTATTTGACACACAGAGAGAGAAATCACAAGTAGGCAGAGAGGCAGGCAGAGAGAGAGAGAGAGGGGGGAGCATTCTCTCCGATGAGCAGAGAGCCCGATGTGGGACTCGATCCCAGGACCCTGAGATCACGACCCGAGCTGAAGGCAGAGGCTTAACCCACTGAGCCACCCAAGTGCCCAGGGACTCTTGTTTTAATCCCAGGGAGGAAGAGATTGTATTCCTCTTTTGTTGGTTGTATTCTTTTCATTGGCCTGCAGCTGCATCAGGACTTTGGCTATGCAATGCTCAGGGGAGAGTTCTAATGCAGCCTTTCCAAAAATGACATTTAAAGATTGTATGTCAAACTGGTATATTGCTTTTTAGGTTCTATAACTTTGTGTGTTTACAGAACAGATTTTTATTACTTTATATAGCTGTTTCATTTCAAGACATCAAGGGCTTTAATATTTACTGAGCATTTATGATTGCCATGCATTGTGCTAATTGCCATATATTCATTCTTACTTTCAGCCAATCAAAAACTTAGGAAGAAGTATTAGTTCAGTTTATAGGTAGGAAAATTGAGAACCAGAGAGGCAAACAGCTTGCCAGTAAATGGGAGTGATAAGGGTTCAATCTGTTGTTTATTTTTGACTATGCGGTGTTAATAAAAGTCCACATGCCTTTTTGACATACAATGTGTATGATCACTCCCCTGCTTAGATGATTTTATTTTTAATATACCATAAAAAGAAATATGTGTTCTTAAAATCTGAAGATATTTTATTTGCTTATTTTCTTTGTAAACTGCTTAGAAATAATTCCTTTTTTTCACCAGTGAGTTTGCACATGAGCCAACTGCCTTGTATTTGACAATTGGGTTTCAAAAAAGAAAATCTGAGCTATTTTGCTTTATTACTGATCTCTGTGACTGAGACTCGGGCCAAGATTAATTTTTTAAAGTGATGGTAAGAGTAAAGAAAGATTCTAGTTAAGGATTTTCAGAGAAATTACAGTTAAGGATCTAATAAGAAAACTTACCCTGTATCTTGAAGTCTCATTGCTGAGGAAAATAAGCTTTTAGTCTGAATTCTTATTTACAAGGGGAGGGATACAGTAAAGCCAGCATCATAAACCAAAATCTTTGTTTATTGTGGTCTTTGATTCTGTTTAATATTTCTCTCTTCCCTCTCCACTGGATTTTGATATAATTTAGTCTCCTTCCACATAATAAAAATTTGGTACTTTTACTATTTACAGGATGTGGCAAATATATATACTATCATATGCTGTTACCACTATAATAAGGCCAAAATTTATGTTTATATTTAATCTGGTTTTATCTCTTTTTTTTTATATTTAGAACTTGCTGAGTCAGATGTTAGTGAAAAAGCATTGACCTAGGAGTCAAGACCCACCTCTTCACTAATTTGATATTGTGCAAGTCATCTTACTTCTCTGCATCTTAGTTGCCTGATCTGTAAAAAAGGAGATAAAAATTCTTTACCTATCTGAAGGTAAGTGATCAGTTAAGAAAGCAAAAAATAAATACAGATGTAATGGTGGCTTAAACATACAATGTTTATTTTCTTATGTAAAATAATTCTTTTTTAAAAAAGATTTTATTTATTTTTTTGAGAATGAGAGAGAAAGTGGGGGAGAGAGGGTGAGGGGCAGAAGGGGAAGCAGACTCCCCACTGAGCAGGGAGCCCGCTGTGGGGCTCAGTCCTGGGACTCTAGGATCATGACCTGAGCCGGAGGCAGAGGCTTGACCAACTGAGCCACCCAGGTGTCCCTCATGTAAAATAATTCTTGAATTATGTTGTCTGGGTCAGGTATAGTAGCCTCACAAAGTTATCAGGGACCTAAACTTCTCCCATTTCTTTGATCTGCCGTCTCTAAGGTTTGGCACTGGTTCTTGTAGTCCAAGATAGCTGCCAGAATTCTAATCATCACAGCAGCCAGGTTCCAGGCAGGAAGGCAAAGACAAAGATGCTTCCTTTTCTTTTAAAGAGACTTCCCAAACCAAAACTCAGGTTACCAGGGAAGTAGGGAAATTAGCTGGACACTGAGTTACCCTGAATAAAACTGGGCTTTTGTTACTGAGGAGGAAGGGAGGATCTGGATATTGACAGGCAAATAGGAGTCTCTGCCATACTCTTTTTCTCTTTCATCTTTGAGATCTGTAAGCTATGATAACCACTCATAGAAATTGCCACAGAAGAGCTTTGTCTGATCATTGTCTTCAAAATGAATAACTTTAATAAATTGTGTTTCTTTTTTTACTTTTATCCTGTGATTCATTATAGAAGCTTTCCTGTCTTATTGAGTATTTGTTCTGGTTATTACTTTTATTTTTATTATTGAAATATAATTGATAATGTTATTAGTTGCAAGTATATAATATATTGATTGATCAGTTGTACACATTACCCAGTGCTCACTCCAATAAGTGTACTTACCGTCTATCACCATACAAAGTTATTACACTGTTACTGACTGTATTCCCTGTGCTGCAATTTTCATCACTATGATTATTTATTTTACAACTAGAAGTTTGTATCTCCTAATTTCTTTCACCTATTTTACCCATCCTTCCACTTCCATTCCATTTGGCAACCACTAGTTTGTTCTCTGGATTTATGGATCTGTTTTTGTTTGTGTTTTAGATTCCACATATAAGTGAAATCATACGGGATATGACTTTCTTCACCTGATTTATTTCACTTAGCATAATACCCTTTAGGTATATGTTGTTGGAAATAACAAGATTTTGTTCTTTTTTTATGGCTGAGTAACATTCCAGGATATATACCACATTTCCTTTATCCATTCACCTATTAATGGACACTGAGGCTGCTTGCATGTATTCACTGTTGTAAATAATGCTGCAATAAACAGGGGTGCATGTATTTTTTCAGATTAGTGTTTTTATTTTCTTTGAGTAAATACCCAGCAATGGAAGTACTGGGTCATTTGGTATTTCATTTTTAATTTTTTTAATTTAATATTTTGAAGAAACTTCATGCTGTTTTTCTAGCAATTGTACCAATTTACATTCCCACCAACAGTGCACAAGAGATCCCTTTTCTCTACTTTTGGTCAGCACTTGTTGTTTCTTAATTTACTGATATTATTATTCTGACAGGTGTGAAGTGATATCTCAGTATGGTTTTGATTTGTATTTCCCTGGTGATGAATGATGTTGAGCATCTTTTCAGTTGTCTGTTGGCCATCTGTCTGTCTGTCTTTGGAAAAATATCTGTTCAAGTCCTGTGCCCTTTTTAAAATCAGATTTGTTTTTTTACTCTCCAGTTGTATGAGTTCTTTATATATTTGGTATTAACTTCTTATTAGATACGTGATTTGCAAATATCTTCTTCCATTCAGTAGATTGCCTTTTTATTTTGTTGACAGATTCCTTTATTGTGCAAAAGCTTTTTAATTTGATGTAGTACAAAATAGTTTACTTTTGCTTTTTTTTCCCTTGCCAAAGGAGACATATCTAGAAAAATATTGCTACAGGTGATGTCAGAGAGAAGTGTGCCTGTTTTTTTTTTTTCTAGGAATTTTTATGGTTTTAGATTTCCCATATAGATCTTTAACCCATTTCAAATTTATTTTGTCTGTGCCATAAGAAAATGTTCTAGTTTCATTCATTTGCATGTAGCTGTCCAGTTTTACCAAAGCCATGAGGAGACCATCTTTTCCCCCATTGTATATTCATGTCTCCTTTGTTGCAGATTAGGTGGTTTTTGTTTTTGTTTTTTTTTTGTTTTTGTTTTGTTTTTTTTTTTTTTAAGAGGGAGAGAGAGTGTGTGTGTGCAAGTGGGAGTTAGGGGCAGAGAGAGAGAGAGACGATCTTTTTTTTTTTAAAATTAATTAATTTATTTATTTGAAAGAGAGAGAGAGAGAGAGAGGATGCATGCATATAAGCAGGGGAGGAGAAGAGAGAGAGGAAGAGAGAGAGAGAGATCTCAAGCAGATTCCCCGCCAAGTGGGGAGCCTGACATAGGACTCGATTCAGGGCTTGATCTTACAACCCTGAGATCATGTCCTGAGCCTAAACTGAGAGTTGGCTTCTCAACCACCTGAACCACACAGGCACCCCAGGGAGAGAGAGAATCTTAAGCAGCCTCCACACTCAGCACAAGCCTGACCCAAGGCTCAGTCTCACAACCCTGAGATCATGACCTGAGCCAAATCAAGAGTTAGACACTTAACTGACTGAGCCACCCAGGCACCCCTATTGTAGATTAATTGACTGTATAAGCATGGGTTTATTTCTGGGCTCTGTATTCTTTTTTTTTTTTCCTTTTTTTAAAAGATTTTATTTGTTTGAGAGAGAGAGAGGCAGCATGAACAGCAGGAAGGGGCAGAGGGAGAGGGAGAAGCAGACTCCCTGCTGAGCAGGGAGCCCAATGAGGGGCTTGATCCCAGGACCGTAAGATAATTACCTGAGTTGAAGGCACGTGCTTAACTGACTGAGCTACCCAGGCACCCCTGGGCTCTGTATTCTGTTCTATTGATCTCTGTGTCTGTTTTTGTGCCAATACCATACTGTTTTGATTACTATAGCTTTGTACTATAGTGTAAAAATCTGGGATTGTGATACTTCCGGTTTTGTTCAAGATTTCTTTGGTGAGTGCCTGGGTGGCTCAGTTGGTTAAGCATCTGACTCTTGATTTCAGCTCAAGTCATGATCTCGGTGTCCTGTGATCAGCCCTGCATGAGTCTCTGCACTCTGCGTGGAGACTGCTTGGGATTCTCCCTCTCCTTCTACCCTTCTTCCTGCTTGTGCTCTTTCTCTATCTCTTTCTAAAATTAAAAAAAAAAAAAAAATGATCGCTCTGGCTATTCAGGGTCTTTTTTAGGTTTATACAAATTCTAACATTATGTTCCAGTTTTGTGAAAAGTACTATTGGTATTTTAATATGGATTGCATTGAATCTGTAAACTGCTTTGAGTAGTATGGACATTTTAACAATATTAATTCTTCCAATCCATAAGCATGGTGTATCTTTTCATTTGTGTTGTCTTCAGTTTCCTTCATCAATATCTTCTTACAGTTTTCAGAGTTCCAGTTTACCTCCTTATTTGAATATATTTCTAGGTATTTTATTCTTTTTAATGCAGCTGTAAATTTTTTTTTTAATTTCTCTTTCTGCTTCTTTATTCTTAGTGTATGGAAACAACAGATTCCTGTATATTAATTTTGTATCCTGCAGCTTTACTGAATTCATTAATTAGTTATAATAGTTTTTTAGTGGAGTCTTTAAAGTTTTCTATATATAGTGCCATGTTACCTGCAAATAGAGAGTTTTACTTCTTCTTTACCAATTTGGATGTCTTTGTTTCTTTTTTTGTCTGATTACTATGCTTAGGACTTCTATTACTCTGTTGACTAAAAGTAGCAAGAGTGAACATCCTTTGTCTTGTTCCTGATCTTAGAGGAAAAGCTTTCAGTTTTTCACCATTGAGTATGATGTTAGCTGGGGCTTATTATATATGGCCTTTATTATATTGAGGTATATTCCCCCTAAACCCATTTGGTTGAGATTTTTTATCATGAATGGATGTTGAATTTTGTCAAATGCTTATTTTTTTTGTATCTATTGAGATGATTGTATGGTTTTTATCCTTCATTTTTTCTTAATATGGTATATTGTGTTGATTGATTTGCATATATTAAACCATCCTTGTATCCCTGGAATAAACCCCATTTGGTAGTGGTGAATGATCCTTTAAATGTATGGTTGAATTTGATTTGCTAATATTTGTTGAGAATTTTTGCATCTGTGTTCATTAGGAATATTGGTCTGTAGTTTTCTTTTTTTGGAGTGTGTTTGTCTGGCTTTGGTATCAGGGTAATGCTAGTCTAATAGAATGAATTTCAAAGTTTTCCTTCCTCCTTTTTTTTTTTTTTTTTTTTTACTTGTTCCTTTTTTTTTTTAAAAGATTGATTTATTTACTTTAGAGAAAGAGAACAGTGGTGGGGGGGAGAGGAATAGAGAGAATCTCAAGCAGACTCCCCACTGAGTACAGAGTCCAACATGGGGCTTGATCTCACAACCCCGAAATCAAGAGTTGGACACTTAACCAACTGAGCCACCCAGGCCCCTGCTTCCTCTTCTATTTTTTAAGAATAGGTATTAACTCTTTAAATGTTTGTTGAATTTATCTGTGAAACTTTCTGGTCCTGGACTTTTGTTTGTTGGGAATTCTTTGATTCAACTTCTAGTTCTAGTTACTAATAATCGGTCTGTTCAGGTTTTTTTTAAAAGATTCGTTTATTTGAGAGAGAGAGAGAGAGAGAGAGAGAGTGTGTGTGTGTGTGTGTGTGTGTGTGTGTGTGTGTGTGCATGCATAAGTGGGAGGAGGGGCAGAGGGAAATGGAGAGAATCCCCCTGTTGAGCATGGAGCCCAATGTGGGGATCCATCCTAGGCCCCTGAGATCAGACCTGAGCCAAAATCAAGAGTTGAATGCTTAACTGACTGAGCCACCCAGGCACTGTGG